CCCCAGCGCGGGAACTCCAAATCTAGAACGGAGCAGTTGGCCCCTGGCTTCATTCAGTCGCCAAGGGCTCGGAGGCAGAAGCGCCAGTTGTCCCTCCCGGCTGAGCGTCCTGTGCGGGTGATCGGTCGCTTTCTCACCCCGCGGGAAGCCTCTGATGAGCCTTGTCCATGGCCGAGGGTGGCGTTGTCCTTGAAGGGCCCGGACCTTCGCCCGCGGCCCCCCCTGCTGCGGGACATGGGGAGGAGCCGGGACATGGGGAGGAGCCTCCGCGCCCCGCCCCGCCCCCCTACGGTCCCGATCACATGCTGAAGGGCGACGCGGGGCCCTGTGGCCAACCTCGCGCTCCGCTGCGACGCCCCTTCAATGGGCCGACTGACCTGGCCGTGGAGCAACCGCCGTCCCCCCGGAAGAGAAGACCGTACCTTGGGGTGGACACTTCGATGGACCCCAAAGTCCCCTTTGGGCCAGTACCTGCTGTTGCAAAAGCGTCCCTCGCGACGCCCCAAGGAAAGGGCCCCGAGCGGCTGGCCGGCTGGAGGCAGCGAGGAATTGATTCTATTAATGTGCTCCAAGAGTCTTCCCGCAGCCCTGCGTCCCTGAAGACAGGGGGGCCCAGGTTCCGCAGTGGGGACGCCGAGAGAGGTGGCGGCAATGCGAGGTTCCGTGTGCCTTTGCTGCAAGGTCAAGGCCCCTTTCCGCTCAAAGGCCCGCACGCGAGAGGGCCCCCGCGCGGCCCCTCCGGTCGATGGAAGAGGGCGGAGCAGCCCCCCGAGAACTGGCGGATGGCCCGCAAGGAAGGGAGGNCTCCTGTCTCTCTCCCACTGGCGGGCCCGCAGCGCCTCGGGGAGAGCTGGCGAAGGCCCGTCACCGCGCCGCCCTGCAGAATCCCGGCTTTGCTCTCGGCCGCTGCTCTGCCTTCCCAGATGTTCCGCCCCCCGCCCTCCTCCGCCTTCCCCTGCTGCCAGCTTCCCTGTCCCCGGGCGTGCCCCCTCCTGAGCCCTCCGAAGGAACACGTAAAGAAAGGGTGGGGGGAAATAAAAAGTTGAGCAGAAGGAGGTGACAGTTATTCATTTATGTTTTGATATTTGAAACCCCCTAGCCTCTTACACTGTTTACCGCTGAAGCGCCTTACATACTGCAGCATTCAATAAAGGTTCTGAAGTTTGAAAAAAGAAAAAGGCAGTGTTTTAGCACCTGGCTAATAGGCTGGCAAATTGGCCTGTAGGCCAAATCTGGCCCATAGCCACACCCATTGTTTTATACATTGTCTGTGGCTGCTTTTCTGCTCCATTGCCAGAAGTGAGTAGTTGCAACAGCCACTGTATGGCATACAAAGTCTAAAGTTTTTACTATAGGGTCCTCTATAGGAGAAGTTTGTCAAACCCTTATACTTTTATATTTTTTAAGCTACCTTTTAGGTTTTGGCATAGATTTTAATCATATAAACCTTTTGTATATATAAAGAAAAGTGAAATATAAGCCAATGACTTAGTAAAGGCATTCCTCAAATTTTTGTACTTATAGCATAGAACTTGTTTCATATTACTTTTTAAAAAATATTTTTTTCTCGATTTCAGGGAGAGGACTGGAGAGGGAGAGATCGATAGAAACATCGATGAGAGAGAAACATCGATTGGCTGCCTCCTGCACACCACCTACTGGGGATTGAGCTCTCAACGGGAGCATGTGCCCTCACCAGGAATCCAACTGTGACCTCCTGGTTCATTGGACAGGCTTAACCACTGAGCCATTCCTGCAGGCCCATATTACTCACTTTTCAGTGCAGTACGTTTTGTCTCTAATTTTCCACAAAGCACTTTTGGGTGCCATGGAAAGCATCAGCACCTCAGCTTTTCTTGAATGAGAACTCTATTCCTGCCTCTAAGGTTTTCTCCCAAGCTGCTGAAGATCATTCTTCATGCTTTAATGCCAACACTTCCTTTATCTTCCTACATATTTTCAACAGAATTTTTTTTTCAGTGACACCTAGTCTCCTATTCCTTCCTCAAATGGTCTTTAATTTGTTGTCTGAAACTGGGAGGGATGGTGGTTGTCCAATCATGACCCCAGAAATCCAACCAGTTGGGCTTGCTCCAAGAAGGCAGGGAAGGATTCGAAAATGCCCTTCACTCCTAGATAAACCTAGAGGGTTTAAAATGTGACAGGCATATGCTTCTTAGAATTCATGAGTTGTGTTAGCTTGTTTGTTTCCCAGCAGGTGGGGAATGGTTTGGTTTTTGGTTCACTGAGGGGAGAGAAGGGCCAAGCGCATCCAGTCCCATGTTCCTGCATGTCCTTTGCAAGCCTGATACTACCGGTATCCTTGAAATGTTCTGTCCATTCTTTGCTTTACTTTCTCATGCCCAATAGCCTTCCTACCAAGTCTCAAAGACCTCTCAGAAGTGTTCTTCATTAGTCTCCAGATTTTTAAGCTGTCCCACTCTTTCCGGGGCTGCAGTAATTCAGAATGGTGGAAGTGGTGCCTGGTGCTGACAGGGGAGCTCCACTCCCTGGGCTAGGCAGCTTGGCCCTGGAGCATAAGTCAGGCTCCTGCCTTGGCAGCCACGGGATCCCGTGAACTTTACAACTTAACTAGTCCCTCTCTTCTTTCCTTAGTGTAACATCAGTGTCCCGTGAAAATTTGGAAACTCCTTGTTGCATTAACAGGGTGAGATCATTGTTTGAGTGTCTTTCCATTCACTGGTGTGGTTCAAAAGAGCTGTGCCTATGAGCAGCTGTTGCTACTCAGCCACATTTCTAGCTGCTGCTGCTGCACTTCAGGGAAGTTTCCCACCGAGAATGTTGTTCAGAAGCATCTGAGGATCTGTTAAGTAAGGCAGTTCTTCTCAGTCTGAGGGCACCCCAACATTTGGAATCTAGAAACCCCATTTTTATTTCCCTGCAGTTAGGGTTATAATACTATGTAACCACAAGTCCAGTGGAGGAAGGGCTGCTAATTTCCAGGACTCTCCTTATGGACGAGACCCTCCAAGCAGAAAAGGCTACTGACTCATGCCAATAGGGGCCCTAGCAAGAGCAGACAGCTTTTTTGAAATTTGCCAGGTAATGACAAGGCTTAGGGCCTTTCTACTTATTGTTCATCCCAGTTTGGGCTGCATGTTCTATATTTTTCTTTATGCCAGATGTGGTTATATAAGCAGAGTTCAAAATGAAGAATAAAGCTTTTGATTTTCCTATACTTTGCTTTTGTGGGATTCTGGAAGCCTTTTATAGAGCCTTGACTATTTGCCACAACAAAAACACAATGGAGAAACCCTTTGCACTTTAGAGTAGAGCTTGCTGTGTGTGCTTCTCACTGGTTCCAGTTGAAGAGCTACCTTGCAACTTGACAGGGTTCCGGAGATAAAAGGCAGGGTTGCAGGATGGCAGTGGTTATAGATTCTATTTTTCAGAGCCCAATAAAACCAAGGAAAAGGTGTCATACCCTCAGAAGCCAAGACCTGGGTGAGCTCTTGTCTAAGCAAGCCAATGAGTAGGGACCTCATATGACCCAGTCACCATGACTTAAGGGTAACCTAGAGACTTCTTGGGTTCATTAACTTATGGAAACACAGAATGTTACAGCAACAGTTTGAAGACATGAAAAAAGGAACTAACAATAGTGGAATCCAGTCTGGTTATCAGCTAGGGCCATTCTTAGAGCTTTAGAGCTGGCCCCAGAAGTTCCCTTGCTGCTTGGCTCCTGGTTGTGCCACAATTTTTGATCACAAGTTATCACCCCAAACCAGACATGCACTGTTTGTGCCCTTTTTTTCCTGCCATGATGAAGAGCTGCGCTATCAGGTTGGCATTGCCTGATAAAGGTACATGGCTGACTCTTAGGGTCAGTCATGTCTTAACCAATGCACCTGAAGTCTGTAGAGTAGTCTAGGTAGATGCTGAAGCAGCAGACTTCAGTTCATTTATTAAGGCCTTTTCTTTAGGGTGAAGCAATGCTCAGATCTCAAAGTCCTTTCCTAAGTACCTTCATTCCTGCTCTGTCCTTGGAAACTGGTTTAACAAGATCTCCTGGGTGTCCATCAAAGTCACTGTGGAAAGCTTGTTAAAATGCAGAGAGCTGGGCCCACTCCAGGGTTTCTGATTCAGTAGTTCTGCAGTGTAGCCTGGGAATTTGTCATATCAAACAAGTTTCCAGGAAATGCGTATGTTCCAGGGACCATACTTTGAGAACAAAAAACAAGAGAAGTCAGAGATTGCAAGGTGAGAAAGACCCACCATGGCTGGATTTGAAAAGACTGTGAGCCAGGGAACACAGATGGCCTCTAGAAGCTGTAGACAAAGGGCAGCCAAATCCATCACAGATCAGAAACCTTTCATTAAGGCAAACATCTACAAGGAAGCAACTCGGCCTACAATCTCTCTCAGTTGCCACTATTGCAATTTTAACATTTCAAACCTCTCCTTTTCTCTCCACTTTATATTGGCATAACTAAATGATCCATTTAAGCTGCTTTTGCCAAATAAACTAATCCTATGTCCAAAGCACATGTATATTTTCTATCCAGAAGAACCCCAAACTGCTGTAGCTCTTGGTTACAAAGCTACAAAATCCAAGCTTTGGGTTGAGCCCAAGCTCAATGTCTCTCTGACTTTCATTTAACCAAAAGTTTCTGGAAATGGGAAGGTTTTCTATGATGAGGAATCCTTAAGTGACTTCTGCTTAAAATACTATGGTTGTATGAGGCAGGTAATTGGAAGATATTAACAGATCCTGCACCCAGAGTGTAGTAGTAAATTTAATCTGGGCTGTTCTCCAGCAGATATATTTGGAGGAAGGCATTGCCTCCTTGCAGCCAACCACAGCAGGGTGAGCTGCTGAGAAGGAGGCCACAGGTGTGCTTTCCCATCTTGCTCCAGGGATCTCCAGCTTTTCCCTCTGGCTGTGTGTCACTGTGGCAAGAAAGAAAGATGACTTTAATATTCAAATTCAAGGAGAGGCAGTGGAAGAGAAGGTCATGTGACGTATGCACAGAGGGTTCTGAAACGATGGTATACCAGGAAATGCCACATTTCTCTTTTTTCCTCCATCTTATTCAACCTGCCTTAGCTACCACCTGCCTGATAGGCAGGGTATGTGGGGAGAGGGTCCCTGCTCTTACTTTTAAAGTCATTTAGGGATTAAGCAGGCCAGGACCATTACAGTGGGGCCTCTGGTCTTCTTTCTTCTTCCTTTTTAATTTTTTTAAAATGTGTTTTTATTGATTTCAGAGATAGGAAGGGAGAGGGAGAGAGAGAGAAGCATCAGTGATCTGCTGCCTCCTGCACGCCCCTTACTGGGGATCGAGCCCGCAACCTGGGCATGTGTCCTGTCAGGAAATTGAACCATGACATCCTGGTTCATGGGTCAATGCTCAACCGCTGAGCCACGCCGGCCGGGCCCTCTGGTCTTTCATGCTGACTGTGGCTGTGAGTCTCAGGGCCCAAGATGGCATTTGAAGGTTCGTGCCTTTGCTGATGGCCTGCTCCTCCCCTGATAAACTTGGTCTCTGCGCCTTCTCTATAGCACACAAGGCCGCAGATCTTGGTAACCTTTCCCAAGCCTCTACTCAGATGGTCCCAGAAGATACCTGCTACCTCTGAGGTCCTGAGCTTCATCAAACTTGGAAGCCAGCCCTAGCCGGTTTGGTTCAGTGGCTAGAGCATCGGCCTGCAGACTGAAGGGTCCTGGGTTCGATTTCAACCAAGGACACATACCTCCTGACCCCGGCCTGGTCAGGAGGCAACCAGTCAATGTGTCTCTCTCACATTGGTGTTCATCTCTCTCT